CCTTTGAATTTCTACGAGAGCAACATACTTCACTGTGGATTCGAGCAGACCGATCAGTTGCTGATCGTGGTGTCGCCGGGTAGCGGTGTGTTCAATGTCGAACACACGTTGGTAAATTTGACGCAGCAGCGAACGATGGACCTCAGCGCCGGCATCGACCTGGTATGCCTCGGCGAGCAGCCGTTGCACATCGTGCCCCTGTTCATCTGCAACAGTGACACAGCAGATAGCCATCGCCTTTTTTCGTCGTCGTCAAGGAAGTCGTTGTCGCTGTCACACAACGTCGACGATCGTTACTGTAATCCGTACTGGATCAACATCAGTTACTATAGTCAACTAAGACACTTTGGCACGTTCAGGAACTTTGCGCCTCGGATCAAGATCCCCGAATCATTGCAGAACGCCAAGGTAATAATCACGCGTCTACTGTCACATTTTTCTATCTGGCTTTACTCTTCGTACTACAGATTATCGACTGACTCATCCAAGACTGCACTGCTAGACTTAATGGCTCATTGCGCCACCTCTTCAGGCTACGGTTCCGTGTTATTTGGCCATCTGCAATGCCAGATGCATCTCACATCGTTTTGTAAGCTGTATCCATTTTGCGCTCGTCATGAACGATGTTTCAGGAGTTGAAACTCCTTGTATGCTGCTGCAAAAACATAATAAGCTGTTTGAACGCCAACGTATGTCAAATAACGAATGATTTTCCCCAGTCCAGATTTCATCCCCCAACGTGCCGCCGTTTTGCTCGTATTTGCTTGGGGGGAGCATTTAACTGGGCCACGGCTTAATGGTATTTGAGCATATCCCAGAAATGGCGATGCATTTAAATTAATTGGTTCATTAAGTAAAGGTTATGGTACTAGTTTAAGAATTAGGCGAGTGTTCTCAAGCTAGATGCCGCCAAAAAAGTCTTTTTAACTCTGCGCTGACATCATGCCGTCGAAAATCACGTCCTGAAATTAACATGGCACGTTGATGACAACTAAACATGAAGCAGCATAAACAACTTTTTTGTCCTTTCCCTTTCTTTTCATTTTTCTTTGAAAGAGATATGAATGATCGAGATCTCGAATCCAGCGTAACTGCTTTACCCAGATTTACTTGTTATTTTGTCGTCCGTTTTAACAGAGTATGATACCTTATTTTTAGGATTATAAGGCGCACTTAAAATCCTTATATTTGCAAAAAAATCGCCATTGCGCCCCGTAGTCCGGTGCGCCTTATATACGAATTTTGGCCTGAATCCTTCATACAAAAGATGCTCCTTCTACTTCTGCGATGTCGTTCTTTCCATGGTTATTTTACTAAATTTATAAAATGGTTTGATTTCGTAGAAAGACTCCTTTGTAATTGGGCCTTATTTACTTTTCAGTGGAGCGAGTCTATGGTAGAACCCAGCTTGTCTCGTCGGCCGGCTCTTTTCGATCACAAACAATCAATAGACGGGTATCATAATCTTTGTACTGCGCCGTTTTGTCGGGGTACGTTGAATGGCGGAGTTTTGTCCTGGGCCGTTTTGTTACGG